AAGGCAGCCCTCACAATGCTTACCTGTCAGCTTTCAGCTCAACGACGGTCATCTTAAAATTATAAAATAACTAAACATTACAAGCAAGAATGCCATAATGAAAAACAGCGAAAAACAATTACACCCAAAGACCTTTACTCACCCATATTGTGATGGCTGCAAAAGTATTATCATTAAAAGAAAAATCATCAATAAGAGATTAAAAAGCTCAGCAATAATATTTTCATTACCAGATCAGAGAAATTAAAGTGATAAGAGGTGATATCATTATGTTTGATGTTACTTTCTCCTGAAATATTCTACTTTAAAAGTTGTTTTGTGACTAGAATTATTCACATTTAGCTCTTAGGCAATCAGTACAGTAAGAGAACATTAGCATTTCCTTCACAGGAAATTAACACAATGGAGTAAAAACAATAACTCGCTGTCCATTTCAAGCATTCAGATCCTCTCCTTCACAAAAAAAGGTCAAAACTGGAACAGGCTAGAAGAAATGTGTAAACAGTTACAAAATGCTAAGTGACTACTTACTCCACAGTGAAGTTACTTAGTTTATTAGCCACACTCTGCTCCTTTATTTGTCCTCATTTCCCTGGGAGCTATCAATAGCTAAGAGAAACACCTGTATTCACAGCAATACATGTAGCGATGTTAAACAGTGAAACTATTTGAAGTTACTGAGGATAATCAAGGCACAGGCCAACTGCAGAGAGCTGCAGATCTCCAACGCTACATGAGTGTTAAACCAACAGGCAAAATTTGATGTAGAAATTTAAGAGTAGATAGATATGTACACAATCCTAAACCAGCTGGGCTCCAACTGATAATCACCTCTCATGAAGGGGATACTTTGGTTATCACTGCTTCATAAAAACAACAGTTCAATAACCACTTTTTCAAAGCACAGCCTGAACATCAGGACAGAAGTGGAAAAAGTTCAGAGAAAAATAGAAAGTAGAACAAGAAGTATGGAACAGCTTCCATGTGAAGAATGACCAATGACTAAATAAGAGTATTCAGTTGGGGGGGAAAGATGATCGAGTTAACATTAAACAAGCTTTATAAAAAACTTGGGTATGTGCATTTCCCTCTCTGGATCACTCTTCTCAATAATTAGCACTCTATAGAAATTCACAGCATTTGTGCTTCATTAGTTATATGATGACTTCCTGGGAGCTAACACGGAGTATCAATGACAAACCTGTTTTCCTTTGTCTTCAGTTTAAACAGATTTTGTAGGAGTTAGTTCTCACATGGGTTCATAAATAAGACATTGCAGTGGCTAGATAAATAATGCTATGGGATGCTAAAAATACAAGTTATGCTTTGAAACACCTGACATGCAGAGCTGCTAATGAAACAGAGATCTGATCAACTTTACAAAGTTTTGACAGGTCTATCTGATATGTGTGATGAAAACAAACAAAAAAGCCAACACAAATCAGAGCCAGAATTTCTCTTAAAATTGCACCTGTTGCTGCCTACAACAGGCTCCCTGTTTCCTCTACTCCTTCAATCAGTTACCATTTCCTGACTACCCTTCCCCTATAGTGTACTATAAACACATTGAGAGACACAGACATACGTTTCTATACAGGCACATACACTTTCTGCTACTTTGTCCATTATTTGGGTCAGCAGGCTCCAACCCTCAACTATATTTTGTTCAATCCAAGTACTCATTTTCAGCCTACTACCCTACTCTTCTCAAGTGCTACTTTGGCCGGTGCTATAATCCAGCCAAAGAGCCTCCCACCTTCCCCTTCTTCACACATCTGAGAGTGTCATGTAACCAAGAAAATACAAGGCTATACAATTTCAGGTGACTATGAAGGAGTTAATAGAGTACAGCACAGAGGAAGAACAGCCCAGCTTAGCCCATTATCACATACATGAACATCAAATGAGAATGTGTGAAAAGGGATAAATGCACAGAATAACTGACATGTGCCTTGCTTACAAGATACCAGATTTTTTACTAGTGAGCTAGTTAAAAAAAAAAAAAAAAAGTGCTGTGGGTTTGATGGTGGTTTGTTGTTCGGTTTTTTGGTTGATTGGTTTGGTTTTATTGTTCAGTTGGGGTTTGTTTTGGGACCATTTTGTTTGTTTGTTTTTTAAACAAGGTACTAGTACAGTCAAGAATTCCAGAACACCTACTTGGTTTTTAAGCCATACAAGTCAATCAAAACTGCTAAGATTCTAGAATCCCAAAAAATTTGAACAAATTTACATAGAGCTATATAGGCTAAGGGTGAGCCAAAGGGGAAGCTCCCATTCTCCCTCTTTTTTTACTTCCATCCCTGCTCTCAGCTTTACCCTCCTCCCACCTTGACACAGCTCGAGACTTTTTGTAGCACTCGCTCACCTTAACTCCAAAACAGGGGAAGCGTATTTTTCTCACTGCAGGAGTTTATTTTTCTGCCAGTTTAGCACATTGAACCAACCCAGTGAAGTGTCTGATGCGCACCAAGGACAAGATCAGGAAAACAGAAGGGAACCCAGGGGTGTGGAGAAGGGCAGGAAAGAAAATATTTACACGCTAGCCTTTTTCTCAGGGCAGCAGGCTTTTAGAAGGGTTTAACTACAACAGCATTTAACTGTACCAATATTTTATAATTCTTTAATTTTTTCAGAAGAACGAGTCAAGGAGAATTATTTGATTACACAGCATTAAGTTAATTTTATGCATTACAGGTTTACATACCACAACCAGTTCACTTCCCAAACGTCTGTGTCCAAGTACAGTACTTAATCTCTTCACGAAGTCGGAGCTCCCTGATTACATCTTGTTTACAAGTCAAGCCTTCCCTTTTCAGTGTTTTTCTCTCTACTGCCTATTTCACAGGCACATTAACAGGAAAAGTCGTAACTAAATTCATCCACTCAAGTGATACAGATCCAGACAATTTAAACATTTTGCAAATATAACTGCTAGTCTACTATACTCTTCTATTTAATTGCATGAAGAACTAAGAATTCTTCTTTTTTTTTTTAAGACACAACCCTAAAAGTTAGAAATAAGCCACTAAGGGAGCGCCAATTCCACTCTACCCTCACCCTCCCAAGATTTCCAAATGTTCCAAGCCATCCTGATGCTATGCATGGTCTAACAGCTCCCTTCTAGCTATGCCTGCATTTATTTTCAGTATTTTGAGATGCCATCTGACCAAACACGACACTCCATGCCTTTCTGACTAGCTTTTCTACCATAAGGAAGACTACCCAAACAGATTAATGCTGTACTGCTGTCACCCATCCAGTACAGTATAAACTGTGGCAACAGGGGTTTTTTCCTCTTTTGTTTTTTCTATTCTATTTAGTTTGGGAAAAAAAAAAAAAAAAAAAAAGTGGCAGTTACTAGCACACTTGCTCACTGCTTGAATATACCAAAAGGAATGTGACCACATGTAGCGTGTATCTTACGGGTAGGTAGGGGTTTGAGGGGGAAATCTCTGGCTCTGGGAGAAAACCACTCAAGTTTGGCAGCTTAGTGTTCTACGGGACCATCTTCCTAAAGAATCTTTATGCAAAAAGAAATACAAATAATGTAAATATATTGAAGTTTGTCAAACATGTTTCCATCTCTTTACATTTGCATCCCACATCACGTGGTATTAGCTTTATGTAACTGTGATCTATACCACAAAAAGACAACATCATTCGCTCTCTATAACCACCTGAAGGGAGGGTGTAGAGAGGTGGGGGTCGGTCTCTTCTCCCAAGTCACAGGAGACAGGATGAGAGGAAATGGCCTCAAGTTGGGCCAGGGGACGTTCAGATTGGATATTAGGAAACATTTCTTCACCAAAAGGGTTATCAGCCATTGGAATGGGCTGCTCAAGGAAGCGGTTGAGGCACCATCCCTGGAGGTGTTCAAAAGACGGGTTGACATGGTCCTCAGGAATATGGTTTAGTGATTTTTTTTTATTTTTTTTTTTCTTTTAGTCAGAGTTAGGTTGATGGTTGGACTAGATGATCTTTACGGTCCCTTCCAACCCAGACGATTCTATGATTCTAGGAGGCGCCTCTCACAAAAACCCGTCTTCTCACCTGTGATCACCTAACGTATAACAAAACCCAGCCCCAAACCGTTAAGAGCGGGCAGTGGCTGTAGCACAGCGCCCGAAGCGAGGAGCAGACCCAGCTAGCCGCGGAGGCTGGCGGTGACTCAGGCACCACGCTCGGTACCGCCGCCACACGCTCCTCGGCGAGAGGAAGCGCTGAGGGAGGGCTCCTGAGCCAGAGGCAGGAAGAGCGGCTGCTGCCCGGGCACCCCTCACCCCAGGGACAGAAGGGACTCATTTCCCCGCCACCGCTGCCACCCAAACGCTCGTCCCGCCGCCCCCACCGGACTCCGGTTCCCGCTGCCCGCCCCGCGCCTCAGCCTTCTCTTGGCGCCTCAGGGAGCTGCAGGGGCCAGGCCCAGCAGGAGGCAGGGCTCCGGACATCGCCCCGCCGGCTGCCGGGCGGCTGGGGCAGAGCTCGGGGCCGGCCCGGAGGAGGGCGGGCGCGGCGGTGCCCCGCTCCACAGCCCGGCTCAGCGCCCTCCCTCCGCTGGGCTCCCTCACGCAGCTTCCATGTCTGCCCGGTGACCCACCAGCGGCACTGATTACCCCCGCTCCTTCCTGCCAGCCGGAGGCAGCCCGCCCGCCCCGCCCCGCCCAGCCCCGCACGGCCCCGCACGGCCGCGGGCTGCCCCGCTCCCCGGCACTTCCTCCTCCCGGCCGGCGGCGGTGGCTGGCGGAAACAAAGAGAGACGGGCGCTCGGGCCACCCCGGCCGCCGGACTTTCGCCCTCTCCCGGAGCGCACTCCTCCACCTGGGCAGGTGGCCCCGGCGCCGCCCGCTGGGCGGGGGCCAGGCGGACCCTCCGCTCGCCACAGGAGCCCCGCGGGAGACGGCCCGCCCGCCCGCTCCCGCCGGCAGCCCCGCTCCCCCGCGGACAAAGCGCCGCCGGTCTCCTCAGGCGCTGCCCCCCCCGCGCCCCCCACTCCCGCTCACCGGAGCGCCGGTCCCTCTCATCGTCCTCTTCGTCTTCCTCCTTCTCCTGCCCATCCCGCTCCGCCGGTGCCCGCTCGTCGCCCTGCGCCTCCACCGGCACCACCGTGAAGCTGGTCGGCATGGCGAAGGGCGGCCCCGGGACCCGCTGGCGCCTCCTCCCAGGGCAGGGAGCGGGGAGAGCCCGGCGCCGCCGCCTCCCTCACGTGAGCGCCATTTCCTCACCCGGCGGGGGGCGGCCCCGGACCCCGCCCCTTCGGCGCCGGAGCCACGGCCCCGGGGGAGGGCAGGGGAAACGGGACGGGAGGCGGGACGGGAGACGGGAAGGGAAGGGAAGGGAAGGGAAGGGGCGCCGTGACTGACTGTGGTTCACACACACACAACTTCCCCACTCGGGACTGAGACGGGCCGGGGAGAGGTTCTGCCCTGCCCGCGGAGAGGGAGAGGAGGGCCACGGGCAGGGAGAAGGGTCCCTTCAGCGCAGCCTCAACCAGTTCCCAGGTGACACCAAGTTGGGTGGGAGTGTTGATCTGCTGGAGGGTCGGAAGGCTCCACAGAGGGACCTGGACAGGCTGGATGGATGGGCTGAGGCCAGTGGGATGAGGTTCAACAAGGCCAAGTGCCAGGTCCTGCCCTTGGGTCCCACCAACCCCCCTGCAGCGCTCCAGGCTGGGGGCAGAGTGGCTGGAGCTGCCTGGCAGAAAAGGACCTGGGGGTGTTGGTGGACACCGGCTGAACAGGAGCCAGCAGTGTGCCCAGGTGGCCAAGAAGGCCACCAGCATCCTGGCCTGGGTCAGGACCAGCGTGGGGAGTAGGGCTCATGAGGTGATGGTGCCTCTGGACTGGGCACTGGTGAGGCCTCACCTTGAGGGCTGTGTCCAGTTTTGGGCCCCTCACCACAAGAAGGACATGGAGGGGCTGCTCACTCCCAGCTTCTGCTCTGCTATGAAGCTTGCAGACTTCTGGGCCAGCACCAAACTGCCCACACTCATGGTCCCCACAAACATTCTCCCAAAGTTGGCATTTTTGTTCTGGTTTTCCATTTTAGTCTGCAATGTTGCCTGTATCTTGCAGCACAGTGCAAAGCCCAAATGCTGCCCCAGGAACCACCATGGTCGTCCTGGCAGCTGGGCTCAGGGTGCAGGGGTCTCTTGGACAGACCCACGGGATCAGCCTCATTGCATGTGGCAGGGCTTGCTCAGGGATCTCTTGGTGGCCTTTTAAGAGTGGGGCACAGCCCCCCTTCATGTTCTAATTTGTTGGTGTTCTCCTCTGCTTTTGAGGTTAGGGGGACCACTCTCTTTGATTGCTGTTATTACTGCTAATATTGCATCTACTGCACAGTGGACAATCTCACAGTGGTCTCGCAACGGTGTCACACAGCAATCAGTAAGAAGAATGGGAAAGAAGTAGGGAAGTCATCGTGCCTCTGTACTGGGTAGGGCAGTGATGGTGCCTCTGGACTGGGCACTGGTGAGGCCTCACCTCCAGGGCTGGGTTCAGTTCTGGGCCCCTCACCACAAGAAGGACATGGAGGGGCTGGAGCGTGTCCAGAGGAGAGCCACCAAGCTGGGGAGGGGTCTGGAGAACAAGTCCTATGAGGAGAGGCTGAGGGAACTGGGCATGGTTAGTTTGGAGAAGAGGAGGCTGAGGGGAGACCTCATTGCCCTCTACAGCTCCCTGAAAGGAGGGTGGAGAGAGGTGGGGGTTGGCCTCTTCTCCCAAGGGAATCATGACAGGAGCAGAGGAAATGGTCTGAAGTTGGGGCAGGGGAGGGTTAGATGAGATATTGGGAAGAATGACTTTCCTGAGAGGGTGGTCAGGCACTGGAAGGGCCTGCCCAGGGAGGTGGTGGAGTCACCATCCCTGGAGGGATTTAAGATGTGTGTAGACATGGCTCTTCAGGGCCTGCTCTAGTGCCCAGGATTGTTGGATGGGTGTTTTTGTTTTGTGTTTGGTGTTGTGTTGGTGTGTGGTGGGTTTTTTGGTTTTTTTGTGTTTGGTTGGACTCAATGATCTCAGAGGTCCCTTCCAACCATGAAGATTCTGTGACTCTGCATCTTCTGTGAGTGGAGCTGGTGCCATTGGGAAAACAGCCCAGGAAGGGTGTCTGTGGGTGTCAGGATGCGTGAGAACCGCCCTGGGTTGTTTTATTGTGGCTGTTGGGCACAAAAAAATGCTTCCTCTCTTTCTTAAATCTTGCCTTGCAGATATCCTTGCAGCAGTAGGACCACCAGTCTGCCTCTTCTCACATCCCAGCAGACAGAAACTGTCTTCCAAAGGAAACCAGAACCAGTCTGTGAAGCCCTGATCTTCTAGGTCTCAAAAGGGATGGCAGGAGCTTTGCAGTTCACCTGTTGGATGAGTGTACCTCGTACAAGTGTACCCGTTAGACTACCAGGAAATGAAGATGAGAAATTTCCAAGAAATCTGCGGTCCTACACATCAGCCACGGGTTGCACGGGACAGCTGAAGGCCCTGTGATTCAGGTTGGAGTCAGCATGTAAGCTCTGACCCTAAGTGATGCAGATTCAATGAATCAGTGGATGGGCAGTGTATCAAATTAAATATTAATGATGTAGCACTAGTGATGAGCTGTACCTCTTGGTTACCTTAAACTTCCTTCTCAGTGAAGGCTGTATCATCTCCACTCCTAAAGTGGAGAAAACAAACTTGGAAGCCAGGAACCTTTTTCTTGTCTCCCGCTATTCTACCTTCACAGCAAAGCACTAGAATAGAGCAGAAAGACTCTATTCAAGTCAGGCTTTTGTGAGTTTGTGGGTCCCATACCTCAGTGGGATGGAAGATGCTTACCTAACACTACAGTCTGTCCCACAGTGTAGAGGCCTTCAAAGAACGGGGTGGGGAAAGTGATTCTGGCCATCAAAGGTGGCAGTGAAGTGGCAGATGTGGAGGTGGCAGGGCAGCAAGAAGAGAAGGGGGTGAGAGGAATGGTAACATGGGCTTCCAGTTCCATCCCCCATTCAAACCATGGTGTAACTACAATAGTGAGAATGGTGGCTGCATGGAAAAGGAATTTCTACGTTGGGGGTATGTTTCTTCATCCTCCCCCTGCCTTTTCCCTAGCTCAAGAAAGTGACTGGAATGGTGTCTTTGCTAGTGATAGCAGATTTCCAACATGTTAATGATGTTACCTGTAGAGGCAATGTGAGATACTTGCTGGAGGTGACTTAGAAACTAAGGTTATATTCACATTTTAAGAAAAGGTACAGCCTTGAAGAAACTTCCAGGGTGGGGTGCAGCTGATATGCAAAGAATGTATTCCACCATAGTTCCCTAGGCCACAGAACCTGCAACCTTGGAGTCAGCAGATTCTAAGGTGGGAAAAAAACAGCATGGAGAGAGGGGTGGTGTGAAGATACCGTAGCCAAACTCCGTGCATCAGTGCAGGGAATGGGAACTTACAGTACTGTGAAGACTAATAAGCTGCATAGTTGTTACCCTGAGCCAGCAGTTTCTTATTTTTTGTAAAAATCATGACCTTAGGTTGAACTTTGCCCATTATAATGTCATATAATACCAAAACACACCTCCATCCCAAAAGAAACCCACCTCCAAGGTGCGACCACCCTTCACTGAGTTCTGCGCTCTGATTTTCTGCTAGTCTATACCTTTAAACATGAAGCAAGGAAATTTTACACCCATCATAACAAAGCTATGTATGACTTGAGTCACTCATGCTCCACCTGAAAGGTAAAAAATAGTATAAAAATGGATTAAGAATGGAGGGATGTTAGGGAAGATACCATTGCAGACAAGTCAGGAAGATACCATTACGAAGCATCGCCGACTTCTGGGACCAGTTGATGGGCTGAGGCTCTCCCTGATAGGGACACATATTGGGTGAGATTCGAACTCTTGGCTTATACCAAGGGCTTCACTGAGGATTGGGCATCGCTCAGAATCCAAGCCCAGCCACCCCCAGCCCCTCTGACAGCTGAGGACAAGCTGGAATGCAAAGGGGTTTGTTTTCTGCCAAATTCCTTTACCCTTTAATGCAACATGCATATTTTGGGGCACTTTTAATGTTAAAACACATTTTGTCATGGTACAGACTATTGCCAAAATTAATGGTACTAATTAATTAGATACAATGACAAACGAGAATGGTGAATATAAGTTTCAAACATGTACAAAAAATAGCAATTCCCTCTTCAAAATGAGGACTGAACAGCATGCAATGTGCATGGCGTGGGATCACATAGGAGCGTTGAGAAGAAAATTTTAAATAGCTGGTCCTTTTTTAAGTATTGTCTGTCTGGTGCCTGTAGAAGTCTATGGAAAGAAACTAATGTGTGATAAAGATGGAAACTGTATCACGCAGTATCTTACTGCGTGAACAGACTGGGGAGAGATTAGGATGGCAGCCTTCAATTTTACTTTAACTTGATACAGATTTTTTTTGTCTGAAATAGCTAAGAGCCAAAGAAAGAGAAGCTTTGGACCAAACAACTTTTTAATGAACAGAGGCAGCACTTCCTCTTCCAACTCTCTTCTGTTTCCTCAGTGTCCTGGGTCCGGCGGGGACAGGGTTAATTCTCCCCAGGCTCTGGCAGGGACACAGGCATCCCATCTCAACCCATGAGTTTTGCCTTTTCCTTCCAATTCTCCCCGGAAAGAGCAGCTGCAGCTGGTTCTTTGGTGCCCTCTGAGGCCAAACCAGGACACTCTGTCATAACCATCTGATGAAAAAGAGGTGGAGCTCTGTGGAGCAAGGACAGGGGGGTGTGGGTTGTCCCCCATTAGAGGGACACCATGAGAACTATGATCTGTGAGCCCTTTAGAAGTTTTTGCACAATGAGGACCTGGGACTGAGAAAATTAACTCACTTCTTATGTTGATTTATTGACGTTTCCCTTCAAATAGCATGAGGTAAGTAGTGTTGTGCCACATGCCAGGTTTAACAAAAGGCTACTCTGATGGTACGCTTCTAGGAATGAGAAATAAAAAAAGGACAAGAGTAAGGTTAAGATATTATATAAATCTGTCTAAAGAGTGCAGTGCTGGATTCATAACATGACATAAGTGTTTTCCTGAAAAAAAACCCCAACAACCAACCAAACAAAAAACCAAAAAATCCCACAAACCAACAACAAAAAAACCCCTCAAACAAACCTTTCTGTTTGTGACAGAAAGTTCACTGAAAACACACAGAGCCTGGACCATCGCCATCTTT